ATGTCCAATTATGACACACCATTTTTTCAAATGGCATTCGGCTTGCAGTTGACCAGACTCCCAATTACAAGGTGACTCTGGACATGCTGTCTGCTGGCCCAGCAGCCATCATGAACAACAAAAGTATGATGCGCACTTGGAACAAAGATATTCTAGCCAGATGTTACCCTTTAGTCGTGGTTCCTGATGTGCCAGTGACCTGATGTGATTTTTAATCCTCATATCCTACCTTTCCATTCACAAAATTGAAATTTACTACCTACCCATATACAAAAACCCAATTTGTCAGAAGTCCGAATGCAATGTGAATCATAACAAATTCCCTCAGAACTCCTGACCAGCAGAGCAGCATGAAATGACTTGATACGGATTGTAATCTACGCAATAGAGCAATAAGAAACCTGGACAGACAGGTTTGAGATGTGAGCTCTATGAGTCTATCTCAAATAGATGAAATGAACAATGGAGGAAGGATCAACACCTTACCTGCAGGAAAGCAGGATACAAAGGAGAAAGTAAAAAGATTCTTGAGCTTTCAATTTCCAACGGTCATAACTTCTGACAAACTAAGAGAGAGAACAAGATAAAAATGAAAGGCTAATAAAGTGTAACACTATTTACCTGGACAGACAGGTTTGAGATGTGAGCTCTATGAGTCTCTCTCGAATAGATGAAATGAACAACGGCAGAAGGATCAATGCCTTACCTGCAGGAAAGCAGGATACAAAGTAGAAAGTAAAAAGATCAAAACAAGAGAGTGAGAACAGTCCAGATAATGTTAAGTGTAGTATGTAGAATAAAAAGACTTACTCTTGAGCTTTCAATTTCCAATGGTGAGGAGGAAAGAGAGAGCTTGAGAGGGTCAAGGTATATATGAAAAACAACCGCACACACATGACAAAGAAAAACTCTGATAAAACAGGGGTTCACACACAACCACAGGCACACAGACACGTAGATAATGATGACTATTCTCAAAGCGTAAAGACTCAGTTGGTTTTGTGGACCAATCCATCATACATTCCTAACCAACTATCCTGATTCAGACAGCTTCAAACATTGTATACCTATCCATCTCATGAAACCTGACATTCAGACATTCAACCATAACACATACTACAAAACTCTCTAACCCTGTACCCTCTTCAGCTTTATCACACAACTACCTCTTCCTTAAGTCGTGAAGTACTTGACCAAGATGCAATTTACAACAACACAGCAGGCCGCCACATCTCGTGTATAAAGCCAGATGCATGGCACACCCAATCATGTGCGCACAAGACAAGCTCAGCAATTATGTGTGCGCAATCACGTGGTGGGCCCGGGTTTTGAATTTTGGGCAGGCCCAGGCGCGGATTTTGACTGTTACAAAGGCACACCTATAGTGGGGGCGCAGAGGCGTGCCTCTGAGGTGTCACAATCCCCCAAAAATCAAAAAAAAGGTAAAAAACCTGCTAAACAACATCAGAAAGCACTTTTTCGTATTTCATAACAGTTCTGCTGCACATCTAATGAACATTTATTGAAGTAAATCATTGAAAAGATCCTCCTCATCCCAATCTTCATTCTCAGATCCCTCATCTAAAACAATAGCAACAGCATGTTCTGCTTCAACTCTAATATTGAATAATGTTAAATCAAACAGAGTGTCTATAAAACCACTCTCAGTAATATCCTCTTGGTCTTTTTCCTGATCCAACTCATCTTCACCATGAACTCTATTTTCAAACTCTTGAACTTGATCAAGATCTTCAAATTGAGGATCTAAATCTTGTAATTCATCAGTAGCAGCAGTTTGATTGTTATTGTTGATCAATTTGGCCACACAATTTGGTTGCTCAGATTCAAGGTCCATCTCAATTTGAGACATCATCTTTAAAGTTGAGACATCCATTCGAGGGCGCGACTTGGTCTTTTGAGAACCCATCCGCGAAAAGAGGCTTTCAACACCCGCAGCGTGGGGTACAATTTCTAAGAGCTTGATGGCAAACGACTTGAGCTCTTGAGTTTGTGGATTAGCTGATACCTTCAACCAGTAATTCATGGCAGATGAAGCTAAACAATAATCAAGATTAGTTACATTATCACATCCGATATGATCATGAGAAATCACAACTTGCCATCTGGAGGTATACAAAATGGACCCTTGGAGTTGTAGTATTGTAAGACTTGTGTGATGAGGTTTTTACATTCAATCTGTTTAAACTTCCAAACTTTCGCAATTTTGACTACAGCTCGCGTGAAGTAATTGATATCGTATTTTTGAGACGCAGCCATTTGACGAAACTGAGGTGTCAGGAAAAATCCAAGGATGTAGGCCGGTTCATCAAAGACTTTGCATTGCTTGTTGATTATTTGAATACAGTGAGACTTGAAAGTTGAATATTGAGCTTCAACTTTCATATCTTTGAGCTTTATGTACAACACAATCACCTTGCTCCAAACTTTGCCAACGGTAGTATTCGCACGTTCTAATTTTGCAATTGTATCAACAACTGGCTGGAGTACTCGGACTAAGAGATCATTTGAAGCAAAGTGAAGCCAATTGTAAACAATGTCCCAAATACTTTTCTTGATTGCAGGAGCGTCCGTTGATCAATTGATCAAAGTCTCAACACATTTCCAAAAACCGAGTTCATGTGATTGAACATACAGACAGACTTTGGAAAAAGAGAACCATTGAGTCTCGGAGAAAGTTTTGATTCCGTGTCCGACCTTCTCCATAACTCGCCAGTTCTCTAACCATTGCATCCAATAATGAGCTTTGGTAAAAAAATTGACTAGTTCTTTGTTGTTGGAGACTACTTCCTTCATGCTTGTATGCGACAGAATATCTTTAGTAACCAAGTTGATAACATGAAGACAGCAGGGTAAGGTGATGATCGCTGGATGTTCCTCAGCAATGATTTTCTATCATTTCACAAAGAGAGAGAAACATTCATGTGAGATCACAAGTCAGTGAAAAGAAACAAGAAGCACCTTGAAAAGTTGACTCACACGAAACGTGATTATAACTGATGGAGAATCAGTGACAACAGCACCGATCTGAAAGCGGAAAAGGTATTTTCAGAGGTATGACGCTTTTGATTCAGTTCGAGAACATCAATGAACTGCTTGACTTCGGTGCCTTGTAAAACTAAAACTGCGTATATACTATTTTTTGATACGTCAGTCCAGCCATCTAAAGTGATGGTCAAATTTGACTGTTTCGCCAATTTCTCTTTGATTGCTATCTTGTGTTTAGCATGTAAAATTGGAAGTACATTTTCCATCGTCCGATATTGAGGAGGAGGCTTGAATACACATACAGCTAGCATTTTTTGATAGTTCAAGAAAAATTTGTAGTGAAGGAATCTAAAGGCTACCTTCCCCGAGATGAGGCATTTCAAAAGCTCTTCATCGAGATCAGCTAACTTGGCCTTGTTGTACGTTCTGAAGTGATGCAGTGAGCTGAAATCATGGATGAGTTTCGACTTTGGAACCAGTGGGCAAGCGCCATCATCACTTAAGCCAGTTTCCGTTGCAGGTTGAGAGTTTGATCGCCCAGTCTTCTCATTATGCTCAGCAAGTATGAGCTGTTTGTATTCTGACTTTTTTGAGATTGAGATTGACGGGCATTTCTTGGTGATATGATTAAATAATCCACTTGACTTTCCATCCAACGTAGCCTTACAGTGCTGACATTGAGCCCGGCGGCGGTTTGTTGATGCGTTCAGTTCAGCAGACATCAAGAATGCTGTCCATCACTTTCCAAATCTGACAGTAGGTTGGTTCCACTTGGCTGAGGCGGACTTTGACAAGGAGGATTTGGTTTTTGGCATGATATGGAAGGATTATATTGCTGAAGGTGGCTTTGAGATTGAGGATATGTTGTAAGGTGAGTGCTTTGAAGTGTGATTTGAATTTTTTTCACACAGTAACTTGGTGGAATAGACCTAAACCTAAATTGGGCACGCCACCTCCAATTTAGGCTCCAAAAGGCCTGCCCCTGGGGCAGGCCAATTGCGCCCCGCCCACCACGTGAGTGCGCAAGGTATATCACAGCATGCACCTGGTGTTACCGGTTACCCAAATTGCATTCATTGGTCCCAGTCCCAGTACCGGTACCGCAGCCATAGTCACACTTTCACCGCCTTAACCTATTCACCACACTTCACACTCATTTACTGGTACTGTGGTCGCATCATCACTGCCTCAGACCTATGTACCGGTACCACAAATTCAATGACTGTAACGGTACTGCAGTCAAAATGTGACGGCTTACCCACCAATGAACCCTTCTGATGTTCCACTAAAATTTCACATTGCTCACCATCGCACAAGCCCATCTTCCTTTATTCAAGTACTGTCAGTCATGAAACGCAATTGAACCCACTGTCATTGGCAAAACAATCCACCATGCATCATCCAGGACCCTTCTCAGAGCTAAAGGTTTGATACCTGTCTTTATTTTTATCTTTTTCAATTATGAATTTTTGCAACCTGCTTCAGGAATTATAGCTCTGAGCCTGATATTTGAGCTTGATTCTGCATGCATACAGGGTACCCGGATGTGCTCTTGGATGCATGGAGCAAGATTTTGATGTCCTCCCAAACTGTGCGCGAACTCAAGCTTCCCATCCGACAATCAACAATCAACCACCAACGAATCAAGCTACAAGTCAGAGCTCACCGACCTGTCAGACCTGGACAATTCTCTGCCGCCCAAAGGACCAAGGTACTACTAGCTTTCCTAGTTTGAAAATCTCGGCATTGTCTAATGCTGCACTATTTATTCTGGCCTTAGTGCAACTTCCGCTGCTGATCCTCTGACCAAACAAGCCCCCACAACCAAACTACATCCTGCACCCAAACAAGCTCCTGCGCCCAAACCACCTCCCACAATCAAGAAGGCAAAAGGCGCTCAGCTCAAACCAAAAACTTTGAAGAAGACTAAGAATTGACGTGTCGCAACCAAACCAAAGCCTTGCACCACAAAGCACCCAAACACCTTAGGCCAGATGTCCCAGCTTATCATTTCTGAAGCACCTATTGCCGCCGTTCTATGGTCGCACACTACCTCCATGGCGTCTTTGGACACACCAGGGTAATTCTTGTTAAATTTGACTTAGCCTTAGCGTATTTCCTGCAACACACACACCACCTTAACCCCGGAGACATTCCGAACAGTGTCAACAAGATTGTGGATGACTTCTCTCTCCTTAAACCGCTCACCGGTTGGCAGGACAGCCTCCTCACCTGTGTCCAACACATCAAGCAATCCCTTGACCACTTCACCGCTCACCCTGCATCTCCAACACCTTTTGCCCTACAATATCCAAACATCAACACCCTAAATGAGTTAGCAATTCAGCAATCCAAGTCTCCAGTAATTGTAGGTGAGGAAGAAACAGTCATTTTTGTCAATTTAGTGGGTAGAGTAGTGGCTGTTAGCATCCCTCCAAAAGAAATCCAGCTAGATAAGACTCTCAGCAGTCAGGCAAGTCTCATTTCATAGTGTTCCGCTTTTACATCCTAGCTGACCCTAGTTGGCATGACAGGAACAAGGTTGTAAGGCTTTCATGGCTGCAGCTGAGGTAAACAGTGCCTTGGTCAAGACCCACTTTGGTCCAATGACCAAGGTAAACTTTGAACGTACACAGAATCTACCAACTTCAACCTCGCAGAGTCTGTTCTCTGTGAAGCCTAAAGCCAGCACACAACTCAATGGTGTGTATTCTTCTTTCATTGAGGTTCCTGGAACGCTGAACGGTTCCATGCCATCTCAGGGTGTTGGATCTGGTCAATATCACTATGTCTGCCTGTGTGTGTCAGGTCTATTTGAGCACACAGAAGATTCTAAAAGAAATATCAAACAATTTCCTTGATCTGACCAGATTTACTAGTGTCCTTTGCCGATTTATCAAAGACAAAGGCCACCCCTTCAGTCTTTTTTGAAGTCAGCCCGCATACAAGTTTTAGGGTGCACAATGGGACATGAACAGTGACTTCTAGTAATAAAAAAGGGCTTATGGAGGAGGAGCAAAAGAGAACTCCCAGAAAAGACTTTGAAAGTTTAATAAAACCAATTCTGTGTGCTCGCATCAACCTGACATACCGAGGCAGACATGGTGTATGTGGTAGGTCAAAACGCCTGAATTGAATTATCTCTGTGTGTGCATGTGCTTACCAAGTTTCCATACCTGTCTCTTCCACACCTTCATCACAGGAATGCGCCAAGGGCATGACGGACACTCAAATGGCTCTAGGTCCTAATCAGCAGGGTCACGCTTCTTCCGGCTGGCAACAAGACAATATCAGCCATTACAACCTGCCCACCTTGATTCAGATGGGCAAAGAACACACATATAAGTGTGAGGACCACACACGGATCGATTCTGAGGTGTTATGGTATCACAAGCTGGGGCATCTTGTAAACAAGGCATTCATGCCTCATTCTTATGGGTTTGCAATTAGGGTGTTCAAGTCATTGTGAAAAAGGGAAATCTAGGCGCGGCTCACAAGCCAGACATGAGGATATAGCCTAGAGGAATGATTCAAATGAAGGAGAAGATGACAATGATGATGGTTGTCGTCCACATAAAAAGAAGTATAAAAAAACCAAAAACAAACTTTGTGACTACTTTGAGGGTGCAGTCTCAGATGAGCCTGGTTTATTGATATCATCATGCCTTCTGGCACCTCTGCTGAAGCATCCCATTCTTGACTCTTGTTTTTCTCCTCTTTCTTGTTTGTCTTTTACCAAATTCTTTTTGGGTTGCCATTCAAATGAACAACTCCAGGCGTGTCAGGGCCCGGGGTCCCCTCGGGGCGCCGGGTTGGGTGTTCAGCTTGATTTTGTCTTGGTTCTCGTAGCAAAATTTGTGCAGCTTTCCAGAACCACCAGAGGCCGAGGAAGGTTACCAGACTTTACCCCCTGGTGCAATAGCAAGATCTCATTTGAAAAAGGAATTTAAATTCAAACATAACAAATATGTAGCACGAAATGGTAACCTCAACAAAGTCCTGCTGCGCTCGAAGCGCGCGAGAGTCGGCGTGGGACTTTGTTGAGTTTTAACAAATTCGAAGCCCGGATAAAAGTTGTAACAAAGTCTTTAACGAAATGGGAGCCCGGATAGGCCCGGATAAAGTTAACAAAGTCCCACGCCCGCCTCGCGAGGCTGAAGGCTTGCAGTTAAATTGGTGTACATATCAAATCCAACTTTCAATACTGCGATGTCTCGCGATGTCTTACTGGATGAACGGAACTACAGACTTATGAGTCATCCACTCGATCATCTCTCTGTTCTGGATAAAACCCCCTTTCCTTTTTGTTTTTTCTTGACCCGTACACCAATTTTAGCTCACTTGCACATTTATCTTTCTTCGATTCCAAAAGTCAGAAGATCGCTAGGAGCTGATCTCTATCACCATGGACCAATTTATTCGTCATTTTTACACAGTTGTCTTGTCTTTGATAGCTTTGTCTACCACCATTCATTGTGCTCACACAGATTCAAATGAGTTTGATTACATTGTTGTGGGAGGTGGAACAGCCGGTGAGTTTTGACATACGTTGAATGGATATGACCACAAAAATGTGCATATTAAAATGGAATTTTTTGACAAATTTTAGGACTGGCTGTCGCCTCCAGAATCTCAGAAGACCCAAGCATCACGGTTTTGGTCCTTGAGGTAGGCCGAAGTTTCGCTATCTGCAATAAAAATTGCATTTTTGAATCAAAGATTGTCTCTTGTAGGCGGGCCAAAAGGGGCTTGGCAACACCGGGATCTCCATTCCTGGCTTAGCCGGTGAGTCTTTTCAACATTTGGACAAGACCAGAATCCAGACTAACTGGTGGTGATTTCACCCTACAGGTAGTACCTTCCGAAGTGGAGTCGATTGGAACTATACCACCGTTCCTATAACTGGAGCAGGTGGCCGAACAATGATTTATCCTCGCGGTAAAGTTAGTCAAAAAGATGAAGCTGATTATGGGTTTAGCCTGATTTACCAAATCACAGGAACTTGCCTCACTGATCAATCTTACTTTTTTTCATTGCTCATATCAGGTCTTGGGTGGATCTTCAGCGTTGAATTTTATGGTCGCCACAAAAGCATCTCGCCACGATTATGATACCATCGAATCACTGGGAAATCCAGGATGGTAGGCGTCCCATATATATCTGTAAATCACAAGCAATCAAAGCGACTTACAAACAGCTTTTGATCCACATTAGGGGGTGGTCGGAATTCGATCAAGCTTCCAAGAAGTCGGAAAAATTCATTGCCCCCACTACTCACAATTTTACGTTCGACCCCAAATATCATGGTTTGAAGGGAGTTGTCGAAACGACCTTTCCAAAGTATTTGCCTCCGAATGTGCAAGGATATTTTGCAGCAGCAAAAGATCTTGGTCACCTCAAGAAATTAAAAGACTCCTTCCAAGGGGAATTACAAGGCCCTTATTACTTTGCCGCAACGATCGACGAAAAGGCCGAAAGAATGACAAGTGCTAAAGCATATTGTGAATACGTATTAGCATTTCCCGATGTCTAGCAGCATTTCTGATGCCCATCGTTTTCTTTTACAGATTTCCCAATTGCCTCGCGCCCAAATTTAATTGTCCAGGTGGAATCAGAAGTAGATCGGCTCTTGACCTCTAAGTCGGATGATGGACAAGTCATTGTGCGAGGTGTCGAATATTCATCTCAAGGCGTCAAAAAAACGGGCTTAGCCCGCAAAGAGATCATCCTGAGTGCTGGGTCCATTGGCACGCCTGCCATTTTGGAGCGAAGTGGGATGGGTAACCCATCGGTCTTGACTAAATTTGGTATTCCGGTCGTAGTCAACCTCCCGGGTGTAGGATCAAATCTCGCAGATCATGCCGCCATCTTTAACACTTATCAGCTTAAAGCTGGCCTCACCTCTGGGGACGATCTTCAGACCAATCCTACTTTTGCTGCTGAACAAATGAAACTCTACAGCGAACAATGCAACGGTATTTTAACTACTATCAACCCGCTATTGGATTATGAGCCACTAAGTGCCATCTTAACCAAGGCAGAAATGGACGAAGGTTTGAAGGTCTTAGAAAGCGACTCATCTCACATACCCAAACCAATCTTCGATGCCATCAAGGCACAGCTCCTGCATGGTACACCTATAGAATTTATTGTTGCAAACCAAGGTTTGGTAAATGCCACCCAATAAGAGTATCTTTGACATTCTTGATACTAACAACGATGTTCCTCCCTACTTTGCAGTCCTTCCTTGGAGCCACCCATCCTCCAAATGGTTCTCTGTGCGTATTCTGAGAGTATACAGTCCTTCCGATCATGTAGAGGAAGCTGAGACTGACTTGCATTTCCAATCAGTATTGGGATTGGAGCTACCCTACAATATCCCCTATCACGAGGAGAAACCCACATCAGTAGCCGCGATCCACAAATGCCGCCGCAGATTGACCCAGGTATGTCGACTTTTAGTCATGCACCTAGATACCTTGATGAACTTGACATCGTCCCTAACTCTTTTCAATCTACAGCTTATTTCAAGCATCCCTATGACCTTTGGCTCCTTTCAAAGGCGAGCAAACATTCCAGGGCTATCATGGACCGTCCATCGATGCAAAGTGTCATTGTAAAAGAATTTACTCCAGGTGACGCAGTGAAAACCGATGAGCAGTGGAGTTCATGGGTCAAATCGGCTTCCTCACCCAATTGTTAGTTCTCAACGCTTCAGAGCTGTGTATCATGGACTGATTTTATGATATTTTCGAATTCTTCCATCTTAGATCATGCCATAGGAACCGCAGCCATGTTGCCTCGCGAGCATGGTGGGGTTGTAGACACCGAATTGAAAGTATACGGCGTAAAGAATTTGAGGGTTGTTGACGCTAGGTATACACCATTTCTAATCATGATGAATCAAAATTTCTAAATCAATGACTATCTTACTTACTTTCTCCGTGTTAATTAAACTTTCACAGTATCATTCCAACTCATATAGCCGCACATCCATCAATGACCGTATACGCCATTGCCGAGATGGCCGCAGAAAAAATCATGAAGTCAAAGACTGCTTGAAGAATGCGACTTTCTGACGTATATACCACCCTGATATTTCATCGTTGCATAACATTAATATATCTTCCTTCATTTCGACAAACGGATTATTGTATGTACTGCATCTGTCTACCTAGTAACGTAGTATTATTTACTTTTTCATGATAAGTAAGCTACAAGTTTGGTTTCGTATAATTTCATTGAGGAGGTCTTGCGTCTACACGAATTTCAAGCCTCTAGACTAAAATGGTAAAGAATAAGAATGCCGAATGCCAGAGAGAATTCTTAAGGTCTTCTTCAATGGACCGCCATCCTCGTCTTAATCATCAGTAACACATTGACATTTTCTGCTTTCGCACAATTATAAGATGGGTTCATCAATGGATTCATACCATCCTGCATTTGATATTTTTATTCTCCAGGGGCATCCTGAGCCTTCAAGAAGTTTTGCATGATAATTGTGGAGCTCAAGGTGGCTAAGGAGTGCCTAAAGTTTTATGTACTCTACTTTGGCCTCCGGCCCTTCATTTCTTTTTCAAAAACACTAGGAATGTGCATCCCACGTGGCTTATTTAATAGTTTTCCAACATTTATAAATTTCAGGCAGCTTGTTGATTTAGTGACAGTTGTATCTTAGTCATCATTCCATCCTGAACCTCCCTGATATATTCCAAATGAACTGACCAACTAGATTTCTATGTATCAATGTGAAACCATTTTGGAATCTAAATTCCATTCCGAAAGTCCTTCATGAGGGACAGCCACCCAACATACACAGATGCATACACATTTCTAAATGTTCGGGGCCATAGTATTGATCTAGCTTGATGATGGGGATATAAGAAGCCAACATCTGGTCACCTAAGCAAAGTAATCTCAAGCCCTAGGGAATCCGACTGACCTATGATCATATGATGATAGGCTGTATATATAACGTGAATAATCACATAAAAACCATGCTGATATTCAATATTAGAAATATGCAAATCTATGACAACATCTTTATCTCCTCATTGACAAATCATAAAAAAGTCCTGACATCCCATACCGAATTCCGAGTCCAATCAAAGTACCAAACACTTGAGATCCCATCATTACCATTGTTAACTTATCCTCTCTCATTTCTCCAAACCAAATTAACAACAAGTTCAATAAAGTTAAATTTGAACAACCTATTACTTCTCCTTCTCGATTCCTTAATAAGCGTATCAACCCAAATGTTTCAAGTATGCGAAGGCATCCAACAAATCTACATGGCTCAGTAAAGTGAACCATTGAAGGTTTCAATCGATCAGTCACCGGATCTCGTGCTGGAAGTCTATGTCTTGGAATCGGAATAAGCCCGAAGAGTTGAGGACAAGAGTAAAGGAAATTGAAAATCTGAGGAATGAAGAATAATAGGACGGTTTTCGAAAAATGGCCGAGGATTCCAACCACTGCAAAGGCCATTCCTGCGAAATAACAAAATGTATCACCCACAAAGGTACGCGCAGGATACCTATTGATGTAAGATAGGGAAGAATGTTCAATCCCATGTCCTTGTTGTTCTTGAATGACAAAACTTACCAATTGTGTTTGATGAGTGCTAGCATAACTGCTAACAATGGAGTCATCATACAAAACGAAAACAAGTGTCGATCTTCCAATTGTTGACTGCCATGAGATAATCCAAAACTGAACTCTCTTTGAATACCGAGGTCATTGAGGTCAAGCTTGATGTATAGCAAATCATTTAAAATAATTGAAAGGCAAATGATGATCGACTGGCCGACTTCAACCCCATTAACACCTGCGAGGATGTTGATACTGTTGGTACAAAATGTAGATAACATAGACATGTAGAGGTAGTAAAGTGGCCCTTTAGAATGCAAGATGAGTCGAGTGTCAGAAAAATATCAACAAGAGACGGTCAGATAGATAGAGAGACGAAAAGAAGTACCTATGCTAATTAACCCATTGGTCTTCTCAACTCCCAATAAATTCCTGAGTCCCAATATATGCGGGATGATGATATCAGTGGCACCTGCAGCAGCGGCGTAAGCTGTTAAAAGTGGAACTGATGCGATGACTGGAAATAGATTAATTAGGTCAGTATCAGAACCCCCAGAATTTAAGATGCCGCATAAAAAGTAAATGTACTGAAACTTACCAGGGATCGGCAGTTTAAACCTCCAACGAATATCAAACACATCATCCAAGAACCCTAAAAACACAGCGCTAAGGAGTGAAAGAATACTGGCGAGATTAGCGCTTAAGCTAGAATGTGGAAAAGGAACCGTTGATGGATTGGGTAGCTGTCCAAGCTCTTGATCGGTTACAGTTGAGAAAGCAGTCGAGCCTGGTGCATCGGGCGATGACAAGAAATGGGTATAATATGGTAATGGGACAAAGACCGAAAGGACTAGAACATAGATGCTTCCAGCAATCAGACCGGTCGATTCGGGTCTATCCTGTCGCAGAAATCCAATACATTTTTATAGTAAGCAAACATCAAAAGAAAAGATTACCATAAGATAACATTTCAGAAAGAAAATGATAAACCTTACATGAATTCAGATGAAGTTGCTTCTTTATTTGAATCACCAGGTTGAGATTTGAGTGCTACAGTACTTTTGATTGAAGCATTAGCAGGAAAACCACCACCACCAGTAGATTGTCGCTTAAGTAAATCTTTTCCTTTCAGACCAGCTGATATTAAAGTTTGAGATAATAATGGGATTAGTTGGTTAGTTAAGATGTATGCTACGATAGAAAATACGAGGTTTGCTAATAAAGTGATACTGGTCATGATTTGTTTGCTGAGCTCTTGAACTTCTCACTTTGCTTCATCGTCATCGAACAATGGCAAGCAACGAAATCACAACGTGATTTACACATATTCTAAACCCATACTTATGGACTTACAGAGATACCGATAAGAACTCAAACCCTCGATTCCATGCAGCCAACGGGCAACTTTATCTTCCTCCTCTCTTCCACAAAATTATTCAGAAGGACTCTCGGCAGATTTCCATTCTCCGCCTCTCTCTCCCTCTTACTATCTTACCTCGAACTCTCATCTTATCACATCAGTCAGAACAACAACTCTGGAGTCCAACGGACCAATATCACCAACGGTGCGGTCGAGGATGGTTCCTTTACCCTGAAGTTCTAGATAGGTAGGTACGCCCATCAACATCACCGGTCACTTACAGTCTATTTTTTGTGTTGACCTGATGTTTCCTTTCGTTCAATTAAAAACCCCGTTTGTGGGTCACATAGATCTGCACGGCGTTGCAGAATATATAGTGAAAACCGTGTAGACCGTTATGAAGCGAGATGGCGCAGCTGGTAGCGCGCTGGGCTCATACCTTGACACTACGTCTGTGGAACGCCACCCAGAGGTCGTCGGATCGAAACTGACTCTCGCTACCTTTTTCGAGTTTAACCCTCTTTTTGGCACGTTGGTCGACTTGTTTCATGGCTATCCTCCAATTAAATCTTGAAAATGAAGGATTTGCACCTATGACACTTCAAATTTAGCTGTGTATCCCCGAGATGTAAAACTTGTTGCTAGGATGCGAACAACTTGTGGCCTTGGCATCAGGACTCCGGAAGTGAATGTGACAGTTCGGAAAGAAATCAGATAATCATTTATGTGAGCCGTTTTTTGATAGTCGGCATCCATTGCCTATCCTGAAATGTTTAATCTTGATATCATAGGGTACATCTGGGTACATGACACCGAGGATCAAAGTTCTGTACGAACAAATGTCTTGGCTAAGACGATCGCTAGATTTTGTTTCTGGATGGGGACTCGGGAGACCGGAACAACTTCAACAAAACAGCATAGTGGAAAACTATCAGCGTATTGTACACCCTGTTGACCAGACCTGAGTGGAGATATTTATTGCCCAATTCTCTTGCCTTCACTGAGTCCTAGGATATGAGCCGTGTTCCCAAATCATCAGGAGCCCCAAAGTGAAAATGCTCTTCTTGGGGCAGGCCTTAAAAATGGGCATGCTCAAAATTGCATCTAGGTGCAGAAACCAAGGCGACTTTGGCTTGGATAATTGCGAATTCATGCTGTTCTTCAAAATATGATTTTCAACTTTTAATGCCATGACCACCCTCAAAAGATTGACTCTTCAGGTAGAACAACATTTGGTTGCGAATACAAATATTGATAAGGGCATAAACCAGCTCATCCTTGGTCATAAACCTCCTTCAACCCCCAAATTGATCTCAATAAAGAATATGCATAATCGACTCGTCGCCACGTGTACTAGTGCTAGTAGTTCCGTTGGAACCAAATAATAAACATCCTGAAATCATACTCAGCGACCAAGGTGTTCTTGTGAAGAAAACCAATGTGCTCAATGTCGTGCGTAAAACTCTGGTGAGTCATGAAAGCTCTTCACAGAGGTCCTGCATCTTGGGTGGGTTTCCTAGCGGCATCAAGGATCTTTAATCTGGATTAACACGTCATGTCTTCGATACTATCCGAAAGAAACTATGGTTTTAGCATCGGCTACAACGATCCGGGTCATCGCGTCAAATGCACATACATGGATCTCGCACATCTTCAACACATTTGCTCTCGCTACCCATCACCAAAAAAATACAATCCGCTTCCATTTCATTCTTTTCATTCTTTTTTTATTCAACTCATCATCTTAAAAGGTAATCATAGATGTAAACAAAAGTGTCTCAAAAAAATAACAAATCAATAAAAATCTATGTATATCATGATCATCATAAAGAAAATATAGAAAAAAATGATGAAAAAACATAAACTCAAAGTAAAAAAATTAAATAAAGATTTATTACACATTTCTCCTTTCTACAGAAAAAAACAAAACCAAAACCAACACAAACCAAAATCATCAAGAGTCTCATTTCTTACTTCTACTGAAAAATCCTTTTTTCTTCTCTTTTTCAGGTTTACTATAACTAGATAAAGAAGGTGAAGGCATTGGTGGTTGAAGTCTAGGATCCATTGCAGGTGGCATCAAAGCAGCTTGAGAAGTCAAAGGCGGCGGTGCTGGTCTATGTGTTGGATAAGACGGTGCAGAACGCGGTGGTGGTGCTACTACTGCATCTGGTGGTTCGTATGCATATCGATCATCACGTTGACGTGGGTCTGGTGCTCTCTTTGGTAATCTGGCCTGTTTCCCTTCATAGGCTGATGAAGGTGGGGGTTGATTAGAGCCACTCGAACCACCTCGATCTAGACGTGAAAGATCGTGAATAAATGCCTTGGGAGTATAAATTGATGTTGAGCCTATACACGTCCCAAAACATGAACCCATTATCGAGTGATCAGTTTCAGATAGATACAGAGAAATCAGTAGGAGAAGAAGCCTGACCTATGATGACATCTTTTGAATGAGCTTCCGAGACAGCATATGCTGATCTGATCTCTGAATGAGTCATCCCTCCTGCAACAAAGACAATCATCCGTGGTCGATTCTCAACGACTGCCTTCGATTTAGGTTTCTGCCAACTTGGTTTTGCGCTACGTAATGAAGTAGGTGCAGCTGTTGAATAAGCTGCTAAACCACTTCCGTTCAGTTTTGCATTGGTAGATGGACTTTCTCCCATGTACGGAAACACAGTTTGATCCAATTTATTCGCCACTGCATCCTGTCAAATCGATACAAACATAAATCATGGTTCAGAAAAAGTTCTATCAGTAAAGGAATTTCTGCGTTCAAGAAACGCTACCTCAAGCATCAATTTCACTAGAGGTCGATACCTAGATATATCGTAATCATTCTCGTCCAGAGGTTGTTTAAACAATACTTTTCGTTTTTTACCCGAGTCTTTGGCAACATTTGCGCCTAAATGTATCAAATTGTTTACTGCATCCATCTCATTTAATCCCAATTTAGCATGTTGATATAATCTACGTCTGTCTTCATCAGGTACTCCATCTCGATATAAAACATACAATGCAATGATTCGAAGCTTATCGGTGGTACTATGGTGAAAAAGCATGGTTCCATGAGTTTGCATGAAGATCTTACGTATACTTATACTTACTAACGTTTCAAAAGAGTAACAATACGGACCTAACAGCGCGATCATCCAGCAGGGGTACCATCTCTTCAACAATTGATTTCGGTGTTTTTCCTTCAGCTGTCATCCCAGTTGAACAACATTGCTCTACAGAAGCAGCTAAAGGTAATTGTTTCTTCTCAAATAAGTCCATACAAGTTTCAGCCATACTAAGATGTAACGAAAGCTTAAAATCAAACACACCAGTCATAATCAGCAAGGTGTGCAGCTCCATGTGAAAAAAAATTTACTTACCTTCTCTTTACTCTCTTTTAAATGAGGTAGACTAGCCAACATATCCTTCATGTCATTCAAACTGCTACCATTGGTAAGGTGTCCATGTTCAGTAGCATAAGCCTTGAAATCGTGAATCAACTTATCAAGTGCATCTTTCATATGCATATGTCGTACTTCCACCCAAACCTTGTCATCTTCAGAAAGGGTTACTTCTTTTTCTTCATGTTCACCGGATTGATCTTTGAATGAATATCTGCACAAAGAGACGTCAATTTTAGTTCACGGACGGTATTCTCGTTGAAAGGTAGTGTTTTGATTGGATTCTACATGTATTTGTTGTCTTTGATATCGAGCAGGTCATTACACATTGCTTGATAAGTGAATTCATGTAGCAAAGGTGCTTGAAGATCCATAGCTCTCTCAGTGATGAACATCGTCCCACGAGGTCTTGGAGGGTCTACAACAGGCTACAAAAGTCAAGATGTCAGCATTTTGAGTAGAGATTCCCCGAATTCAAACAAGAAATTGGTGCAGCTTGCCGGAAAATCTTCATTGGTATCACAATAATCATCCAAATCTTTTTGCAAGAAAGAAGCTAGCCTTTTACAAAGATGTTCTTTCGCTGCAGCAGCAGGACCGAGTGGTGTAGTAGATGGATTATAATAACGTATATAAGGTTTTTCTCCAAGTGTTGCAAGAAGATTGACGAGCTATTTGAGGAGCAAAAGAGATGAGCTAAATGAATATCAGCATGGGTGTAGGTTAAGATAAATTCAGAAAAGTAAGTAGTTACGGATTTGCTAATCCAACCCAGTTCATCCTCCCAATTAGCTATTGCATCTTGCACTGAACGTTCAGGTGGACCATAAAGAGTGAACAAGCTACGTGGATTAGGCGGGCGAAGTGTGTAGACTTGTGGTTCTTCTGGCCAAATGTTGGTGAAGAGTTCGACCAACTGTCGAAGATAACTAGCTGCAGGAGATGATGTTAAGACATTGACCAATGCATCATCGAGTGCTGATGTTGAATTCAACCCCGAACATCAACAAAAATCACATGTTGTACTTTAGATTGGAAGCTATCAACCTCACCATCTATGAAGAAGAGATGCGCTCCAGCGTACTTGACACCACCGGATGGCACTGGGGGACCTTTTCGGCTAGGAGGTTGAGCAGGGGCAAAGTCACTGATGATTCGATCGACGTTCTTAGCCGTAGGAGCAAGAATGTAAATGGCCTCAAGATTAGGCGAAGGTTGTCTAGGAGTTTCGATGGAGTCGATTTCTGGAATGGTTGCAGTTTGAGGGGAACAACGTCAATCACAAGCTGAGATCTTGAGGCAAATGAAGTGAGAAGCAGTACGTTGGACTCCAAGTTCGAGGATCTCAAAGGTTTTCAAGACACCCTCGATCAAGTTCTTTGAATGTTTGTCGACTACCAATATCTTCCACCGTCCATTGGTTGGCTTGACGGATTGGATGGTGTCAAGATAGCCTATGTTGAGACGAGAGTGATGATCAACCTTTTGTTTTGAAGAGTCTATATGGTCGACATGTTTGAAACTCACGTTTCCTGAGGGTTTCAATCAACGAGAATGGCATCTTGTTGGAATCTTGAGTGCGAGAATGAGGAAAAGGAAGTTGAAGAGGTAAACAAGCAGACTATGGAATATGGATCTTTGAAGGCGGCTACATAATATTAGGCTACTACCCGATCACCGATCACTCGGAGCCGAGGGTGTCACCCTATATATTACGTGAAACTCTCCATGTATGAGATGAAAAAAAAACTACAGTGCTGTGTATTGGCTGTGACACGTGAATGCTATTTGTGAACGGCCACAATGTACTCCCACTGGTCCCTACTTTGGAAAGCTTGAGATTGGCAGTTGCCAGTCCACTATTCTTGAAAGAGGTACATGTGTGATACTTGGCCAAGTACCAGAAAGCTTGGAACTGCAAGCAAGGAGTCATATGATTTAGTATTCATAGGCTGTTTGTCGCAATCAAGATCCCCCCACTCTGGTGTAAGATTCTTGGGCGTCATGGGTGCGTTACTATCTACACTTTCAAAGCTCTTGACAAGCTCTGAGTCTATTGCAAGTGATCTTAAAACAGCTAATCACACAAAGATACTTCAATTGACACAGACACCCTCAGAAGTGAGAGTAAACAAGTCAAGGAGCGTGCCACAGGACCCCGGAATGCCCCTATAAAGGGTAGTTGCAAAGAAAGTTTTCTTTTTGCACGGCCCCAATTTCCTGTTGTATGTGACCCATAATTCCAAGTCACTATTGAATACATTTATGGTTCTCAAACCTGTGCAAGAACTGTGCAAGACCGACGTGCAAGATCCGTGCAAGATTTCTTGCACCAATCTTGCGCATTAAATTTTTTGACGACCCCAGCTATTTTGTTCCAACTGGTACGAAAACCGTGCGAGACCGACGTGCAAGTTCCGTGCAAGTTCCGTGCAAGTTCTATTCATGTCTTGCACAGAAGTTGCTCGAAACTTGCACAAATTTTTGCATAGGTTTGAGAACCATAATTGAGACAATTCGATTCAAACCAGCCATCACGGTAGAAGAAATTCAAGGGGTACTTTAGTGATCCACTAGCTGTTCCTCAGCATTGATAAGCTGGTATTAATTAGTCAAACTGTCTTTAAACCGCTATTTAGCAATGGTCAAAGTATACAAAATGATATCAAGGATCAAAGTGAAAACCACATGAGGTATACCTAAACCCATTGTGTGAAGCCCTGAGAGAGCTCAAAAGGAACCTTTAATTGTGACTATGTACCCTTTAGAGGGGCATTCCAGGGTCCTTGTGCCACTTTCTTAGCTCATGTTAAGTTACTTACACTTTACATGGATCTGGAGCCTGATCAATATCTGTGGATCACCTGGACATGCTCACCATCTTATACATTTGGTTTATTCTTTCACTGCAATAAGAGCCTCAAGGATGAAATAAGCAAAGACTATACAGATGAGGTCTTCAACAGCTGTATCCCCGCAAATTTTCACTTCTAGACAACTCTTCATCATCATATGCAATTTACATCACCCTTTGTCAATCAATATCTCTTTGAACTCAAAATGTGTGTATCATTCACTTGAAATCATCATGCAATGTTGTCTGAAGCATCTTTGTCTTAAGATCTGAAAAAAGCCGTCCATATTCAGAGTCTAATTAATCCACCCAACTCCCTGTACCTAGCTCCGCCTGAGTGAAACATGATGACGCAAACAATCACATAGCACCTTGAGGATGCTGATGCAGATGGAATGCTGGATGAGGAGATTGTATGTAGCTCTACCTTGTCCCGGCATCGCAAAGGTTGCATGCTAAAACATGATAAATTAAGATATTGAGTACACCAAGTAAATATACGTAAGCAAGAGAAATGATAAAGTCAAAAAATGAGAAATGTTTTGGTGATGGTTCTGTCTGTGGATGTACCTCAAGTCCCTAGGCACCGCTACCAAATGATTATCTTGTTGATTTACCATGATTCGTCATTCTTCTTCAGTCCAACGTTCTGCTAACGGTCCCACATGAGGTAATAATTTCCGTTCAAGCACTTCGGCATCAAAATAAGCTTGGTATCTGTAAAACCATTCATAAAGACATAGTTTTGTTCAAAGCAGATGGAATTTTCGGTCAGTCACATGAGTCATGGTGGGAGAAATCAAATCAAACATAGGGTTATTCAAGTATCCAAAAAATTTTGCTGACCCCAACCATCCATAGAGACCTAGATCGATGAGAAATAAAAGAACCTGAAAGAAATGGCTTGCGAGAAAGATGAAGTGTAGAAAGGCTAAAGGTAAGGCAATGAGAAGTGACTGATAGGCGTGTATTCGTACGAAATCGTTTCGAGTTTCGACGATCAACATCAAGATGGCCATCAATGGAGTACAATAAGATAAAGCTGATAATAAATCTACCCTCCAACTAAGAATTCATTCAAGATCAAGTTGACAGGTACTAAATGTCAATTTATTGTGATCGAGTGCAATCGAGGTTTCAAGAACTGACCCGAATCTTGTTTCGTAAGCTTCTGGACTTGGAAAGAACTGTCCACCAGGCTCGAGTCTGTTAGTAGAAGATTGGAATGCATTTGATTGATTGGAAGGCCCGGCTTCAAGACCAGAATGAGATTGAGAAGATTGGAAATTGGGTTGGTTTTGTTGAGAGGTGTATTGGTTGGAATTGATAGGATTTCCACCAGCAACACCACCAGATTGATAAGATTTCCAAGGATTGGGTTCGTGATGAGATTTATTCATAGATGATGATGGTGAGCGAGCCGAAGTTGATGGACTTGATGGCTTGCGCGAAAGTTTAGGGGATGTTCCTTGTCGGTGCTCGTCAGGAGGTGGTGCATATGGAGCAAAGTTCATGGTAGGCCTGGTCTGATTGCAAATCGAAGAGATGTTCAAATTTGTGAGATTCGATGATCAGTGAGTGGTCTGATAGGAAGCTAACTGAACAATTGCACCTGTGCTGATTTATTGGTTTGGAGGTGAAGAAATCGCAGAGGTGGAACTGGGTGTGTCAAATAAACAAGTCACAAGCCTCACCTTACACAGTACGAAGATGTCACAGGAGCTTACAAGTTGATGATACACATGTCACGCGCCTTTTTTCTGCTGCACATTCACAGAAATCAAATCCTCCAGAGAGGCTGATTCACTTTTCTATCCACTTCATCAATATGTTGGTATTGTTTGATGATACCTATGCCTCATTCCACATATTTCACGATCACAAAATCATATTTCCAGTTGATGAAGCGGTTTAAAATGTTAGAAGAGTGGTTATGTATGAGAGATATGGATCTTCAGCTACTTTTATCCAGAAGGAAATATTTCAATCGGATCAAAGAGAAGTATACCATTATCCACATCAAGGGTTTGGTTCTAAATGTTAACCTTGGATTTCAGGCTCACATTAAGTGAAGCAAATCTCCTCGCCAATCAGCCATGAGGCTTTATCCTTGTAATCTACTTCAGGTGTACTTTTTCTGATTGTGGATCACTCAATGTTCACAATCACCCTCACTTGAATGACCCTTCAGATTTACTTACAGCTAGGTAACACACCAGGGTCACCGCGTGCTACTGCCGAGAGTGGGTCGTATTTTAAGTATCTCAACTCGGCCGTCGCAGGGCAAGTATATGGTGAGTGAAGCACACTTTTTCTTCCATTCAAGAAGATGTGAATGTTTATCAACGTACGTATAGCAACGATACATTTGGGATCCTGAAGATGAAAGGAGTTGGTGAGAACAATATTCAAAGGGTTTTGCAGTATATTAAGGAGATTTAAATCTTGATTTGATCACAAATTCACATGAACACCAACCATCGAAATTATTCACATCTTGCGCACTGCTGGTTTAGCACAGCCTAGCACAGCACTGACCTCTGCTCGTTTACTGGCTAGGAGGTCTGAGCCAGTTGCTCGATTGTCAATTTTCACATCCAACTTGATGAAACATCCGAGCAGTGGGAAAAATCAAAACGTGCACCAGAAAACGCTTACCTGATATCCCCCACTTGTGTGATGAAGTTCCCTTTACTTCAAATTCGGAAAACAATCACCTATGTAGATCTTTCACATAAGATATCTACTTATCCGACAAAACCACATGAAAATATATATATATATATATATGTACAAAATAATTTTCTAACCTTCACTTTGACTGCTGCAACAGATTAGGTAAATGTGAGAAATTATGGAGTCTACCAAGATATCATATCTGTTGGAACGGAGATGGGTATAAGCCGAGTCATACATATGAGCGATGAGTGTTTCAGAATCAAAGTGTGGAAGTTTTCTTTGTTAGATATCAAGGAATATGATTTAATATCTTCCGTGAAATTTTGATAGATACAACAACCAAACTTATGATGTAGCGGATTGAGATTACATGAAGGATTTGAGGAAGCAAAGGTTCAAGGTTCAAAAGGTGATTTTGATTCCTGATATCAACGGTGCTGATATCTGATCTTAAACTTAACCAAGTCCCATATTGTCGCTCGCGACCCGAGAGCGTGGGACTTTGTTGGTTGGATCTGATCCGATCATGATTCAATAATGGACATCGCGATATTATATCCGTGCACTCAGCAGCGTTAATTTTTTTTTGATCACATCAGGTTTATTTAAAAAAGGTGACCCATCAAGCACGGATGAGAAAGAGAGGAAGTGACAAATGAATCTTCAAGTGGTTAAGGTCCCAAAATAGATTTGTGATTGAAACATGTGTGAGAAGGATTTAAGGGATGATGTGGTGGTGAAGGAGATGGTGATGTCATGGTTTGATCAAAGACTAATGGGTGAGATGGTGATGAAGTGAAGTGAAGTGAAGGAGTTGATCTGAAAATGAAAGGTATTGATGAATCGGTAGAAATGGGAATGAATTTATCACTGGAAAAATACAGTATTTTCACAAGGAACCTAAGGTTATGTAGTTTTTGATGTTGATTAGTTAGAGATTAAGATCCATTTAAGGTTCACAGCATCTGAGTTGAAGTTGAATTTAAATGTAGTTTTAATAGTATATTTAAGTTGAAGTTGTGTGTAATGTGAGTGACAGTTGAAGAAGATAGAATTCAAATTCTCTATGTATGTATCGACTGCTACTACTTCTACTAGTACTACTGACTACTATTTTATCTCAACAGTCAACAGTCAAGCTCGATTCTCGATTCTAATCAATCAATCAACCAATCTCAACTCAACTTCACCATCGAACTTCAACTTCTCTTGAATCACATCTCATCCTTTTTCTATTTTGATCTTAATCCTCTTTCTTTACTTACTTCTTCTATTCAATAAATCAATCCATCAATCCATCAACCAATCCATCAATCATCAACAGTTTTGATCGAATCATAAAGACACTTTTTAAAGATAATCAATTCATCAAAGTATCCTTCTTTTTCTTTTGATTTCTCATCTCATTTCAGTCATTCTGATCATCATTCATCATTCATCGTCATCTTACTATCAACAAGTGTCAATCTTCAATCATTCTAATCACCCCTATCAATCAATCAACCAACCTACTTAATTCATTCTTCTCTTTTACTTAATTCTATATACTTTTTCCAATCATCTTGAGCAATGAGAGAGTCAAACTTTCACTTTCCTGCTCACAACAAGGCTTCAGTTTGTATCACCAGCGCTCTATACGATAGAAGAGGTAAGTAATCATTCACAAATTCATTCAAAATCATATCAATCTCACTAACATTTCTCATTGGCAACCTCAATAGCAATCGACTCAACTTCTCCTCTACCCTTACTCTCAACTTTAACTCATCTTTCTTATCTCACCTCAACTTCCCCTAGAATCAGGGAAATCCTCTGCTCTGATGGAGGTCTTGAACGTCTCATCACCATACTCAGATCAACTGGAAAACGGATGCGAGAACAGCGTCACTCTTCTCGAAGTCCAGCTATTCCATTACCTTCAGGTCAACATCAAGCACTCGCTCTACAAGATACATCCACCCCTCCTCTCTCTCAGCCTTCATCTAGTCGTGTTCGTCCTGAGGTTCGATCATCACCGTTTAAATCTTTCATCAACCCTCCCTCAACTTCTCTCTCTGAGATCCCTGCTTTTGAAAATCAACCCCTGGCTGCTCATCAAGCTGCTACCGTTGGGCTGAGTAAGGAACAGAAACAATTACTCTGGACTTGGAGTCTCTCTTTTCAATGTGTAGTCAATGTGGGTGTAAGAGGTAGTGAAACAGTTCGGTGAGTCAATTTCATATTCATCTCTTTCCCAACTCTCATCTTACCTTTGTCTTGTTTGTTTAGTACGAGGGTAGTCGAAGCTGGGGTGGTACCGGTGATCATCAGTGTCTTGGGTGGATATTTGCATGAAATGGAACGGATCCGTCAACAATCTGAGGCTCGCGAACGTGCTCGTCGCAAAGCGGCCCTCATCATCGCTTCTCAAACATCTTCAAACTCCTCTCTCAACCGCTCGCTCTCACCTGCTGACATTCTTCGTCCACCTCGACCTGTTCTTTCCCCTCGTACCCTTCTCAACCCCAACTCTAGACCTACTCAAAATCTACTTGCTCTCACCGCACCAACGAGGTCCACCAATCCTACGGGCCTTGCTACCAGCGTTACCAATGCTCGCCCCTCACCCCCTCGCCTCTCCATCTCAGGCCGTAGGAGTAGTATGACATCTACTCCCCTGAATAACTCACCTACTCAGTCTCATGCTCCCTCTACTAGTCAGCACAATGCCACCGCCCAGCTCAGCGCGCGTAGTGACGGAAGTGGGACTATTGGCCCTCATCCTACTCAGCACGAACTTAATCCTATTGCTATCAACTCTTCAACTGACTCGGTTTTCCGGACCGGAAGCATCTCTCCCTCTTCAGTTTCTTCTTCCTCCTCACTTGAAACATCTCGATTATTGACTGCTCACCTCAACCCAGCACAGCATGATCTGGTCCGAACCATTACACCTGACACCTTACAATCCACTTCAGTTGGTGGATCGGGTTCAGAAGTCGAAATGAGGGATCCATCAGTCCCTCAACCCGATCAAACCACTGAAAACCAAGCCGAGGTTGAATCAATGGACGAAAATGATACACACGAAAATGTAGATGATGTAGTGATGGAACTTGATGGTGACAGTGAACCGGGCCCAAGCAATCTTTCCTCCAGAGATCTTAACAACGCTCGACATCAGACTCGGCGTGCAACTATCAAGGGCAATCGAAGGGCTAGCGTGGTCCGGATCACTCCTTTAGGACCTCCACCCACCACCGTCACAGATTTGGATGACCGATCTTTTTCCAGTCACGCAGATAACGGAGACACACCAATGGAAGGCATCGAAACAGATGATACCGCTGCTGCAGTGGCCAATGTCACCCCGAATGCGAATAGGGAGTTATTCACAAATCATCAAACTCCAAGAGCATCATCACACCCACTTCCCACTCCTAGTACTATCACCCAACGTCAAGTTCATCCACCAGCTAGACATGACACTGATAGACAGTCCGAAGATAATGAAGACGTTACCATGGCGGGTCCATCAGATCGACCCCTAACTCGTTCTGATCTTCGTTATCTTTTGAATGACTCGCCTCCTCAAATTTCTCCTACCAGAACAAGACCTGAGAACGAGGATGGTCCAGCTTCACCTCAACTACAGAGAATCTTCTCAGAGGCTAGCGTTTCAGATCCTCCTACTGACTTTCCCGGCCGTCCTTTACCACCTGCGAACCTTCCTACCATTCCTATCACTGTCACCAACGCTGGCACACCTCCAATTCCCATCACAACTGGTGCCACGGCCCCGATCGCAAACCCTACGCTTCAAAACCCAGCCTCTCCTACGACCAGCTCAGGCTCATCCATGTCACTTGGCTTCAGAGATGAAGACGTCCTGCTAGCACTGCAATTATTAGCCTATCTATCCAAGTATCCGCACGTGCGAGCTTACTTCCATGAACCGGCTAGTCGTGCTACATTGGAACTAACTTACGGATCCATGCTTGAAGCTACCCGAGCCCTTGCCCGATTTATTGGACGTTACAAATCAGATCGAAATGAACGTGAGCGAGCCAAAGAAGCTATCATCGCGGCGGGCGGAGGTCCAAATGCTGGTCATCCATCTGCCCGGCGTTCTGCCTCAATGCAACTTCCGTCCGGGGATTGGGCCGGTGGCTTACCAGCAGGTGGTGCTAGTGGTAGCTTACCCGGCTCTTTTACCACACCTCCTAATCGTAATCCAGTTTCCGAAGGACAACATTCTCGCCTTCATCGGGCTACGTCAACCAATGTTATGAGAGACCGCATGAGTCGAACTGAAGCTTACGAACTTGCTTTCAGTAACCGTGAACCTGTTTACACTGCTGGACCTCCTTCGGATCGAGCCAACTCGGCATCGGGTAGAAATGGACCTAATCAAACTTCTCAACCCCCTCCACCAGTAGTGACCTATTATCTTGCTGATCATGAAGATCTCAATCATCCAAGAGCTTCTGCATCTCATTCATCTACATCATCATCACGGATTCAACCTCAACCCATCAATCCATTAGCGACGAATGTATTTTCATATGTAGAAAGATTCACACATCGAAGACCCTCAACCGATTCACATACACCTGTGATTCCTACTGAAATCCAATATTGGGCAGGAGTGATTATGAGAAATGCGTGTAGGAAAGATGATGAACGGGGTGGGATTCGACAATGTGCCAATATGCAATGTGGTAAATGGGAAACTTATCCAAGAGAATTTGCAAAGTGTAGAAGATGTAGAAAAGCGAAATATTGTTCTAAACCTTGTCAAAGTAAAGCTTGGCAACTTGGGCATCGGTTTTGGTAAGTAATTTTCTTTTTTCTATATCCGGTTCTAGAGAGAGTATGAGATTAATGTTCTTTTTGTGAATTGAATTGGATTGAATTGTAGGTGTTGTATCAAGAGTGATTTTGAGAATGCTAATGAGACTGCAGCTGGAGCACACGAAGCTGTAGCCAATAATAACGCCACAACTGATGAGATTCAAGCTGAGACGATTACGGCTCCTATTGTACCGACGGTCCAACGAGAAGTGATTGAAGCCACCGAAAATGAAACTATCACACCTATGGGAGATGAAAGAAGACCGATGATTTCAGGTAATACGAGTACTGGAAGTGTCACACGAGCCGGATCGGTCAACGAAGAACCCATGATGATTGTACCCCAACCTCAACCTACAATCGAACCGGCTCAAGTAGTAGATGCGGCGATAGCAAGATTAAGAACTCGAAGATCTACCATCACATTAGTTAGGAATATCGAAACCCCACCTGATCAAGAAATTGCAGTAGGAATTGCCGGGATCAATGCAGGATTGGTTGAAGCTGCTAATCGAGCCGTCTTGGAAGCTAATAATGGACCACCTGATGATGATGAACGAAACCGGGCTAGAAGAATGATTGAACAGAGAGATGAAGAAGATGAAACTGTCGTTTCGGTTCCTCCTCCCGTTCAAGCTGGTACGAATCCTAATAATAATCATACCAATCGGAATGGTAGAATGTAATGTGTGTGTGTGGTATGTGGAGGAGGTTTTATGAGGTCCTTTAGGGGGTGTTTTTCAACAGTGAATGAGGGTATCGAATGGACGATTGGATGATGTTTTTTTTTGTTCTGTGATCAATCTCAAAACCAGAAATAGATGTGATATGATGTTTTTGATTTCCATGGTTTGTGTGTGAGTGTGTGTGTGGTGTGTGTGTGTTTTGCGTCTGTTGGGTGTGTGGTTTTTTTCTTTTGAATTATCTTGTTGTGTTTTTTTTTTGGTTGAAATGGGATATTAAAGTGATGATGAGGTGAGGATGATTTGAGGTTTTTCATTGTTGTTGTTGTTGTTGGTTCTTTTTTTCTGGTGATCTTGACTTTTTTTTTACTTTGTTCATATATAAATACACAATTATACATTCAAACCATTTTTTTTCTCTTTATTTTACTTTCTCTAAAAGATTTTTTTTGGTAGATTGGAGTTTGTACAAGTGAGGACGGAAAAGATACGACACCAGTTTACTCCACCCAGTACACCAGTCGGGGCCGGTGGAGTAAACTGGTGTCGTATCTTTTCCGGCCTCACTTGTACACTGAAAGAGAGAGACTCTGAGAGAGAGAGGGAAAAGCAATCAATGAATGAATGAGTTTGCTGGATAAATGGAGATCATGTGTTGTGTTTCTTTGATAGTTTTTGGGGGTTTATTGAGTGAAAACTCCAGTAAAGACTTCTCATGCTTTAACACATTTAAATATTTGATTTTTTTTCAAGAGATTACTTTTTTTTGAATCTTGAGATCTAAAACTTCAATCTTTTTGATAAATACCTTGATTAATGCTTTGCTACTTGTTACTCATAATGGGTTTGAACTCATGTCATTTTTAACAATGTGCAGAAAGAGCTTCACTTTACGTTCTCTAAAAGATTTTTTTGGTAGATTGGAGTTTGCACACCAAGAGAGAGAGAGGGGGGGGAAAGCAAACAATCAATGAATGGATGAGTTTGCTAGATAAATGGAGATCATGTGTCATGTTTCTTTGATAGTTTTGAGGGGTTTTATTGAAAAAGATTAAGAATAAGTGACAACTCTGGTAAAGACTTCTCATGTTTGAACATATTTAAATATTTGATTTTTTTTCAAGAGGTTACTTTTTTTTGAATCTTGAGATCTAAAACTTCAATCTTCTTTATAAGGATTTAATGATCTGCTACTTGTTACTCATAAAGGTTTTGAACTCATGGCATTTTTATAAATGTGGAGAAAGAGACAGATTTGAGATGTAAGACTATAACAAGGGACCAAGTATGTAAGTAAATCAAAATCCAAAAGTGATTGAACCAAATCTTCTCAGATATTAATTAAATTTCAATGACTATAAGTTTTTATACTCAAGTTTAATTTTCATAAAGTTTGGTTGATGAAGGTACTAAAACAACAGATTCTTATTATCAAATTTGTTTGATTCACAGGAGAAAACCATGTGATGGAGGCCCTTGAGTTAAGACTAGAGATTTGTCTTAAAAAACACATCAGGCATCAAGCTTGTTGGAATTGTCAAATGGCCATCATCTTGACCTTGAAGCTTTTCAATAAATCAGACAAAGGGTCTTAGGCTTAGTCGATTTAGGGTATCAAAGTTTATGTTTAGGTCTAGAATCTAGATGGCAGCATCCACAAAGGGTGTAGGAGAGAAGATACAGAAGACAAAAAGGCTGTGCATTAAAGTTCATGAAACATGTGGATTAATTGAGGAAGTAGAGTTTGGAGAATAAAGTGTTACATGACTGATCCTGTGATCTAGAGTATATACAATCATCAGATTGAGGTTGAAGTTTACAATCAAAGATCTCAGGGTAATTTCTAACATCAATGAAACTCAACAATGACAGGCTCAATTCAAAAATCAATTATTTTTCTTTTCCTTCACTTTCAGGCCAATGATTTTACATTTTGGAAATTTACCTCTGCCACATTCATTCCCATCATAAGAGATTCAGAGCTAGCATTCAATACAGGTAAATGGGTCTTGTTTTTTTGGTTACTTGTACTGAAGTCATGAATAAAAGATACTATCAATGACTGCAATCTTCTTCTTCTTCTTCCACAAAGGTAAATCTGAGCTTTGGAGTCCTTTTGGTGGATTCACTTGGGATGAGACTAAGCTTGGTTTGGGAAATTATTTAAGAAAGTCAATGGAAGATAAGCAAAGATCAGAAGCTTTCTTTTGTCTTCCCGCTACTGATCAACAGGATAGTAAGTTGTTTTTCCCCCAAGAGTTTACAAAAGATTGAAAAAGTTCAAAAGAAATCACTCAATTTGAACTAAAGGTCCACCTGGAATTGAAATCTTTCAACAACTCAACCTTATGTTACAATCAGAAATCATAAGCTGGACCACCAAGCTTCAAGATATCTTTAGAATTGAATCATCATATAAGAAAGAGTTTTTCTGGTTGTTGATGGGTGAGCTGGCATCTTATATGCCAACTCCAGCTATTCAAGTAACTATCATTCAAGTGGAAAAAGAGAGTAGGAACCCATGGGAAACAGAAGAGATTGGAATGAGAACAGATCAAGATGATTGTTTGACAGAAGTGATGCAAAAATGTAGGAAGGTTTTGAAAGAACATATCATCTCACTCAAACATGGGATGTGAGTTTGTTTTTCTATCATGAATCATAATTTTCAATTAGAAATATAACAAGTCAAATGATGCATGTGGTTTTTTTGTAGAGAAACTGAAAGAATCATGAACATATTCACAACTCAAGAACAAGAAAAGTTGGGAGATTTTAAGATCTCACTCCAAAATGATTGGTCAGTCTTTGAAGAAATTGAACTTTGTCAACACTTTCTATTATGTAAGTCATCTTGATCTTTACCACGAAATCCTGTAAAGTTTACACATCTGTAACTCTTTACAAACATACACATCAAGATCTACCTATGTACTTGCACACAGACAATACAGTTGAAGGAATTCTAGAAACCCAAGCAGTTCTAGTGAGTTTGATCAAGTTGAAAAAAAGAAATGATTTGAAAGTACATGAATTACCGTATGAATTGAATCAAGTTTATGGAAAATGGATCAATAAATACATAAATGAACTTACAGATAAATTCATCAACTCAATCAATTCTTTGAATGAAATGTGAGTCAAATCTTTTATGCTTAAGGCCTAGAAAACAACGGTTGATCCACCCTGGTTCTTATATTTCCTTAGACAACTTCAATCATTTGAAGGAACACAAGTAAGGCTGGTATATGGTTTGTTAGTTAGTATATATGAAGATCATACTGAAATTAAGAAAGTTATCACATTTTGGATAAGATGTAAGTGAATTTCTTTTGCTTTGTATTCTTACCAATTGATGTTTTTGATTTCAGATCTGATTGTTGAAATTTTTCAAAAGATATGGATTTTTACCTTGGAATAAATCATTTAAAAGATTTATTATATCCTATTGATTCTATAGAAAAACTAATAATTAAAGATATTAATCATATGGAATATATTATGAATGAATTTCAAAAGATTTCAAATCCTTCAATAAATCAAAAAAACTTATTGAACAGATTCTTGGAATTCTTTTTAGAAAAAACTGAAGATTTAGAACTCAGACAAATTGCTTTAGATGGTTTATTGAAAATTCAAAAAATCAAGGATCAAGACAGTTTAAAGTCTTTGGTAGGTATGGGACATGTATCATTGAAAATTGATGGAAGAGTTGATTGAAAGAAGAATGCATTCATCCTTGGAAGGTTGGGATTATTTAATCTGATTGTGTTTATATAGGCAGCTGCAGTACCATTTCTTATGTCTCGCACATTTTCCTGGATACTACCTTGGGCTCGTCATGAAAAGTCTGGAATTTGTAAGAGTGGGTGTACGAGGTGGTCAACAAGGTCACAAAACCAGCGATTTGATGCAGGGTTCATCAGGTTGTGATCAAAGTTCATCGTATAGATCCTTGTCACGATATTTGCATCAACTTAGAAGGAAAAGACATGCGGTGTATTTTTGGATTTTCTTTCTTGCTCTCTGGCTCTTTTCCAAATCCATTTTTTTAAATATGATTCCAGATTTCCAAAGAGATAAAACATTTGTGGATGAGATATTATAAAAAGTTCGTGTTAAACTACATCAGACTCAGAGGTGATACAAGGAATTGGGCGGAAAGGCAAGATTTCGGTCATTTAATGCTAGTTGGTTGAATTATTTTTAATATTCCGCTGACCATTTCAGATTTCCTTTTCTTATACTGCTTCAATTAACCACCAAATCCTCCAAAGTGAGTTATCACGAATGCAAAGAATCTCATGTTGTAAATGTGACGCCAAAGGGGTATCCATGCTACAACATCATTCGAAAAATCTTTAGCAAACAAGATTAGTTGAACTTGTTGATATCAAGAACGAGGGGATGAAGGGCTTGGAATGTCAGGGGAAACCAATGGATGTGGTATGAAAAATGAAGATCAGAAGATCATTAAATTAACCGTAATAGGAACAATTCAGGAATAGCGTATTTTAATTTTGAGAATGATCAATTCGATTGTCAGATTTGTATATCATTGGGATTTCTATCATTCAATCCAAATGGTTCCTCATCTGCTTTCATCATCCTTCACTCAGATTAACTCCTTTGAAAGCTCCAAAGAAAGTACAAACTCTCATAATCGAAGGATCAACTTTGGGTTAGATTGATTAGGTATGTCATGATCAAAACCCTTATCACCAGTCTCCTTACCCTCTTCGCACTACCTCTTGTTCAACTCGGTGATCTCCTATCTGACCGATTGAAAAGTATTGACATCTACCTCTGATCCAACGACAGACTTCAGTAGCTTCAAGATCACATTTCAAGGTCAAGATACCTCCTCATCATCTGATGATGATGATCAATTCAATCATAGCACGAAGGGTTATTAATCCAAAGTTTATCGCGTGGCCGATGATATGGTAAATGCATGGGTTTTTATATGCGGATACAGTGTCAGGTTGAGCGGATTAAATTACAACACACATTCATTTGAGTCGATGAGGTACTCTTGGATCCAGGAGAAAGGGCTATGTACACGAGCGATGTGAGCATTTGGTTAAACCTGAAGCACAGCAAGGGTTTCTGAACTAATAAATTTTTCTTTGATGTTGATCATGGCTCGTTTCTAGTTATGGACCATTATCGAATGAATTCATAGCTGTGTCAACAGTTACTTTGGAAGACCATGGAGACAAGCTCAAGTTCTTCTTTGTTTGGGTGGCTTTCAATAGACACAGGGATATTTGAAGCATCTGACTTGAAAGACGCGACCTGGTTTTGCAGATCACGTGACAAGGTCGGAAGAACAGGAGGAGTTTTACACTTTTTTGGAACCAAAAGTTGATGATTTTTGAGTGACATGAGAGTGCTTGGAAAGATGTTTGAGCGGACAAGGCCAAGATAGTTTGAAATATCCAATACCAAGAAAGCAAATCGATATCTAGAAACAGATTGAAAGCTTCAGATTTCATCAAAGTCGCGTTTAAACAAAGGGAAGAAGGGTAAATACACTTTTCACAGAACTTGACTTGACTTTGAATTTCTACTTTGTACCACTGTGATTTTGATTTGTACACTCACACATGACTTGATTTGTACCATATCCACTTTAACTTCTTCTCCATCACCATTACCATCATCACCATCACCATCACCATCATTGGCATTGTCATCATCAGAACGATCATCACCATCAAGTTCGATAGAATATACCCTTCTAAAAACCTCCGAGAGAAGACCCATCACTCAATCTCAATTTGGAATCAAAACTCACCTCATTTCTCTAATTCTCGAACCTCTCCACTTCTCTTCTCAGCATGCTCACTCGAATCGATCAAATGAACCGAAGGAAGAGAAGAAGAATCATCACTTCAGTTCATTATGTGTTTTTCACATTCACTTTACTCCTCCCTCTCGTCTTGTCCGCCGATTCATACTCCGATCCAGGTCCTCAACTTCAATTCCGACCTCATCAAGTGATTAAACCCTCTCGTTTGATGACATGGTTTGAATCATTCTTTGATTCCAATCCTAAATCACCTTTGGACCTTAGTCTTACTCTCCGAGAGTCTCATTCAAAGCAAAAAAATCCACCGCCGCCACCTCGACCACCGCCGCCTTCACCTCCTACTCCGTGCTCTACTCAATATCTCGATCAGTATCCTGCTCCTCTTCAAACCGCTCCTCCATCCGCTTACGCGCCTTACTATGGTCCGGGATATCTGACTAAGCCGCGTGACGAACTCGATCCTCCAGATGCACTACCAACGCAACCCGCTCTAGTTCATCAACCTGGTAGTCCAGCCTTTCGAGCCCTTGGCAAACGTTGGGCTGGCTATGCTACTGTCACTGTCTTTGTCAATACCATAACTGTCACCGCGTTTGTCATCCTTTTATAACTCATGCGAGTGCCATTGATCTATTTTACTGATATTTTAGTTTGAATTCGATTTATTCAATAAATAGGGGCGCAAATGGAAACGGATTACAGGTAGTGACTGTCACGGTTGGCGATACCTCTGGACAGCAGGGCGGTGGCACGGTGACAGTTACTGTCGCAGGTGCAACACAAACTGTTGGAGCTGGAGGAAATGTGGTGGTTGTAGGACCTCGTAAGTCTTTCCTTTTCACGTTTGTGCGTGGTACTTCTTTGTGATCGATGACTAAGATCCATTGGTTTTCTTCGCAAAAACAAACAACAGAGACCACCTCAACCCAAACTGTGTTCATGACACCTACACCAACAATCGTACATTCAACTTCGACTATGACCATTGGTGTTGGTGGAAGTGTTGCCACTGGTGTTGCTAAACCTGGTTCATCTGTACAAGATGAGAACAATGGATTGCCTGGTGATAGACCTTGTCAACCTGGTGAAGAAAGTCTTCGATACCCAGGAAAACTTGCACCTACCAATCCTACTCAAACATCTACCTTGTGTATGTCTTGATCTTCTTCATACGTTTGATCTATATATATTCTGATCTGTTTACTGATTTTTTCCCATTGACTGGACCAAAAAACTAGTTGCGATCGGGGTTTATTTTGTTTTTATACTTGTCAGTTGGAATTTATATATCATTCGACAATTGATTTACCCGATCAAATTATTGGTGGTGGCTTGGCACGAGTTTGGTCATGTGGTAGCTTGTGCTTGTTCTGGTGCTAGATTAGATAGTGTGACTATTGATCCTAATGGTAAGTATTTGTCTTGACTTCATGTTTCAATTCGAGATGATCTTTTGGCTCATCTTTCCTTTCCTTGTCCTCCTACAGAGGGAGGGGCAACTCGAATGGAAGCTCAAATTTACCCTGCAGCCGGTTTACCCGCCGGATACCTTTCTTCTTTCCTCTTCGGTGGAGTCATGCTCTTTTGTGGATTCGACACTTTGGCTTCCAAGTTGAGTACTTTGTGTCTCGCTGTTGCACAAAAGAATGAAATCAAGTCCTGGGGATCGTACTGACAACATATCTTTCATGCGTATTAGAGTAGCAAGTTTCATAATTGGAATGTCTCTAGTAGTTGTTTTTTGGTGGGCGTCTGGGTTATTGACGCGAATCTTGACGTTAGGAGCAGTTGGTAAATCTCTTCATCTTGTTTCGATTTGAGAAGCGACAGAAACTGATTAAAGTGTCTGGGTGATAGGTCTTATGATTGGTTTTTGGTTCATTGATCATGCTGGAATCTTGAGGTACTTTGTTTTGTTTGTTGGAGTGATGAGCTCTTGGTATGTCTTATTCGACGTTATGGACGATTTTGGTTAGTCTTCTTTGTTTCCTTCAGTTCAAAATCATTTGCGTTTGCAGAGGCTGAGGTTTGAAAGGATTTGATTATAGTCTTTAGAAAGATGAATCCTTGTTGTCCGGTCATGTTTGAGGAACGATTCCCAATGGTCAAAGCTGGTAGTAAGTCAAATTCGGGTTTTTTGCAAGGCCTGCGCTTGACAGGAGAAAACTCACAATCTTTCTTTCGTTTTGTGTACATTAGTTTGGGCTTTAATCTGGACTATACTTGCTGCTGTTAACTTTGTGGCTTGGATCTTATTGTCTTTGACTGTTTGGAGAGGAACACGTAAGTTTTTTGTTTTGTTTTTGATGATGTTTGATGAATTTGGGTTGATCTTATCTTGTTTTGATGTGTTTTCTTTACTCAATTCTTTAACAACCCTTATAGCTCGTGGAATGTTCTGTCAAAGTCAACAGTTTTTACCTACTTGATCAAAAGAGAAGCAGGGATGTTGATAAGATCGGAAATGATATGATACTGTTTCTTTGGTCATACTTGCTCGATTTCTTTCTAACATGATGATGATGACGATCATAGATAACGCTTACTCAAATTTATTATGTGATTATTTTTGTCTTGGCACTGAGCTTTTTTTTGCATTTTACTTGTTTATTTGAAAGAGGAAAAGATGGATAGATGGATAATGAAGCTGTTTTTTGTCTTCTTACTGATTGGTTTGTTTTCTTTTCCTTAAAACTTGTTTATCATTTGATTGTTTTGTTATTTTGTTTATTTTGTTATTTTGTCTTTTGTGTGCGTGCATGATTTTTTTTTCTGGGTTGGGAAAAGTGCTGAGAGTGAAATTGGGTGAATGGATCGAGTAGGAATTGAATGATCAATAATGAATGAATTGACTTTGATTTGGTTTGAGTGAGGGATTTGAGAGGCTTGAGGAGATCTCCATGTTTCAGTTGACATCCACCAACAGAAAAGGTACACCTCTGGATCCTATGTTACTGGATTGCTGTATATGTAGCCCCAGGATGATGCGGACATCCACCAATGATCTTTGAATTCTGGATAGGTTCCATGAGCTCTATGTGCAACTATATTTGGATGGATGAATTTCAAGATTGTTTCATGCAATTGACCATCATATCTCTGGAATACATGATTGTTATGGGAAGAGTATGATTTACTCATTTAACTGTCTTTCCCAAGATGGAGAAGAAATCATACTGGCTGGGTACAGACCAGTTATTGAGTTATTAAATTTTTAGTTAATGCTCATGTGAAATGACTCAGTTAGGTAGCTTTTAAATTTTAGTAAAAGCTATAGATGAGAAATTTTTATTGGATGAAAAATTCAGTCAACATTACCTCACCTTTGAAGATGTGTTTGACAAGGAACTTCAACCATTGAATTTGAAAAAAGTGGCTCAGGGTCAGAAATATTGCATGCTCCATGAAAATTCCAATTTTCCTTTGCAAAGATTTTACAAGACAATGACATTGAAATCAAATATTTGAAATGTGAAGGTTGTAATATCAATGAAGCAAAACATGTTTTGCATATGCTTCCTCAAGAGCATCTGTGAACTCAAGCTGGGTTTTGAAGTACAATTTTTGAACATTTGATGATCCTTCCCATCTCTGCCATACCTTCTAAAGTCCAAGGAAAGAATTATTGCAATTCTTGCTTCCTTACAATGTTCAACTTTGACAAGTGAGCCAATGAGATAACAGGATCTTCATTGCATTCAACTAAGCTTTCCAGACTCCGTGGATACTTCTGACAAGCCCTTTCCAAATCATCTTTTCCCCACCCTCTGAGAAGTACTTGCTGAAACTGGAATCCATCCAAGACTACAGGCGTTTTTGGTTTCCTTTGCTTTCAAAAGGATGTAAGAGCTGGATCAAACCAAGGAAACCAGGGTCCGGGAGGAGGTGACTCTTGGCCTTATGTGTCATGTCATCAAAGTCTCCTTTCCAAAATTTTGGAAAGCTTACTCTTTTCTGTTCCATCTGTGTGAAATGCTGGTCAATAATTTTCAGTGATGCCTTTTAAACCTTAATCTTCCAAACCTTCTTTCTTAGACTTTTGATTCAAGTGAGAGTCCTTTTCACTGTGAACATCATTCAACTTCCCCACATTGGAAGAGGAAAATGATTAATAGTACAGTTTGTCATAAAAAGATCCAATACCGCTCACCTGAGCCTCAACACCCACACTACATATGTGCAGTACACTAAGTAAATAGTTTTCTATCATGTACATACAGGTCTGCTCAGTTTTTTGCCCATCAAAATATATAAATCACATGTTATACAACATGTAACTTTTTTGACTTGGAAAAAGTTGTCCCAAGAATTCACTACATATAATTCTGTAGCTGCTCAGGCAATATTTTTGAAGCTATTTCTTAGTAACAGAAAGGGTATTACATGCAGTTGAGTTGATGAGATTACACCAAAAGGTTGAGTCAGTGTATGTAGTCTATCTTTTGAATGCTTTTGTCAATCTGAAAAAAGTTACAGCATGTATTACATATGAATAACTCATCCTGCTGAGCAGATAACTGAGCAGAACTGTATGTACATGATAACCACCAATTCACTGAGCCTGCTACACATATGTAGTGTGGGTGATATGGATCAGGTGTGGAGTGATAGATCATTTTATGATAAATGATACTCCCAATCATTTTTTCCTGCCCACTTGGGGAAGTTGATTAATGTTTGCAGTGTTTGTGGTGATTTTGTTTCAAGAGTATATTTTCACTGCATAATTCTTTGTGGGAAGGCATCTTATGATGATAGACATAAGGGGTTTGGTCAGGCTGTACCTCCAATTCCGGGAATAAACCTTTTTCTGCTTGGTACTGTTAACTGTTATTGACGGAATATTAACAGGTCTCAATCTGCTTCTTATCTTTGTAGGTATATGCTCTATATCAACTATTCAAAGACTCCACATAATACCATTTGATGTTCTTGAGTATTGGCTTGATTTCTTCCAGTGGCCCAATATTTGGAGAGGGGTATATGTTTATGAACGATTTGACATACCAATAATTGGAAACAGCACAATTGAACTTTCCAGTTTACTTGCTCCCAACTACCCAAAATTTTTTGAATGCAAGCCTGTCCATCATTGGTCAATTTATTCATTTTGACTGGACTCACTGAATGAATGATTTGGAGACTTTCTGAAAATCCCTTTGCCAGATGATTACTGGATGCCAATATAGCTTTAGAGATGTGCTTTGATTTTGTCTGGGATTTTGTATCATGAACAAATTTATCTTGCATATCTTTTTCAAGGTTCTGAAAACAACAATGTGCCTTTTTGCCTCTGGGTTTCAAACCTGCCTTGCTGGAAATTATGTTTCCCTGTTTTTTCAGTTGAAACCAGATCTCCTGTTGAGGTGACACCATTTTCCAAGTTTCTCCTGTCTTCATAACTTTGTCATCTGCAAGGACAGCTCATTTTCCAATTTCTTTGAAAGTTTATTTTTCAAACAAGATTTTCCCCTCCAATTCCTTTTGGGCTACCTTGAGTGTGTCTACGGATCGTAAGGCTGGTGATAGTTGAAGGCCTGCAGGTTCAGATATCATGAGTGTGTTACTAGTGGTTAAACTAGTTCCACTAGAGCACTTGATCTGCTTTTTGCTGTTTGTGTCAGAAGCCTTAGTCAGCTCATTGGTTGCCTTTGAGTAGAAAGGGATCACACAATGATTAAAATGGAGGTGTGATCCTTGATGGTGTTTAGAATCATCAACTTGATTTACCATATCTTGTTCTTTCTGAGTCAACTGACAAATCCTCACAAGGAAGATTCAAGCCAAATGTAAATCTTCTCTTTCTTTCATCAGATTATGGAACATCAAGCAAGTCATAGGAATTCCCCTATATTTCTACACCATTTGGGCTTTGAAGAAGGGATTCAGTAGATTCATGTTGTAGGCAAGCTCTGATTTTACTAACAGGATGACTATTGATAACCTTGGGTAATTTATTGCCCTCAGGTATTGAAGGGGCAATTCTTTTGGCAAAGGGAACTAAAAAACAGGAGATTTGAATTGTTGATAGTATAAATATTGTTTTGATCTGGTATTGACATAGCATCACTTTGTAAGACAAAAGTGAAAAGTAGGATCAAGTCCAATACTCTTTTAAAATTGACAATTTAGATTAAGGCAACTCTTGCTTGTAGCACTGCCAACCACATTTTGGGCAGCATAGCGCAAATCTAGCTTGCTCAAGATGGGGACTTCAAGGGTAGTGAGGTATTTTTTTTTGAAAAATTTAGCAGCGGATAGCAGAACTTTTGTCCAGCAGTGCTTCACAGCGCTACAGCCAAAAAAGAAGTGATTTGTTTTTCAAAGTGAGAATTTTCACCATTGATGTATGGTGTATAAATGATGGTAAAGAAACATAAAAAACTAGTATTGTGAAAGTATGTAAAAGAGTGTAAATAAAATGATATCATGTATAGAGGGGTTGTGTTTTATTTGGATTGGGTTTGAAGAACTAACAACTACTTCGGATAAAATTTGATTTTTAAAGATTGGAGATACAATTGGAGATCTTTCATTTGAAGAAAGAGGTAATGATATTTCTGAAGCAGATTCTTGTTAAAACAGAATCTGAGATTCTTGTCTTCTGACACAACAGTTGATCGATAGCCAATGAGCTAATGAGATATAGTTGTTGAGACAACAGCAAGCACTAATTTGGATTGTATTGGTTCAGTTTTGATTATCAAATTGGGAAACTCTTTGATTTGATCAATCTTGAAAGATTTGTATATACAACTTGATATCTAATCATCCTTGCTTCTAAAATTAGAGTTATGCAAGATGTGAGCTGGTATACAACTATAATAAGATCATAACCATTTCTTAATTTGACTTTGATTGTGTTATCATGTGACTTGAAACAATTGATATGTGTGAGATTGTTGAAGTTGTGTTGATTATGTGAAGTTTTTCTAAAAGGAAGGCAGATATATGTCTAAGATCATCAACTGATACAAGTCAATGAGAAGGACAGCTAGGATTCAAAGAGTAAAGTACTTGCCTTCAGTACATGGCATCACTACTGATCTAAGGGAAGTGAAGAGGTATCAATGGAGAAGGTGTTGATTGAAAAGTTGTGACTTGTTGATTGAAAGGCCAGATCTGAGTGGAGATAGAATCATGGGCGCCAGAAGCTTCTGAGATGGCAGTGGAAAGCGCAGGACCCCAATTTTTTGGTACCCAAATGTCAGCGGGAGACACAACTCCCTGGGTCTGAGCTTCCCAAGCAATGGAGCGCCTCCGCTGGGTGTTATGCTTTGCCACGCCCCACACTTCTGGGTACACTGCAAGCCAGATTTGATCAAGGTAAAGTTTGGACAGATGGCCAACAAGTGGTGTAAGGCACTTGAATTTCAAATAAAACAAATTCCATGAATAAATAAGATCATAAAACTGCTCATGCCAAAAA